TCCTGCGGGTGGAGGGTGAAATAAACAAGAAAAGCCACTGTGGAGATGTGAATGGAAAAGTACCGAGCCCTCCCTCCCTCCGTACATTCTTCCGTTCTCCAGCTCTCCCTGCCTTGGAGCTGGCTTCAGATAGGCTTCTGCATGGTCAGGTGTACAAGAGGGCGGTGTGGAGAAGAAAGGGAAAAAAAATGCAGGCACAACACGCAAATCAAGTTTTTCCACTTCTAGTCTTAGGTAGTAGAGGCAGCTAAGTACAGCCGCCAGCAGCCCAGCAGCGGCGGCAGCGGGTGGACCAGCCATCCTGAGTTTACAAACACTCAAGTGCTTTCCTTCCCTCATCCCTCTGAGAGTCCAGCTGCTGCTTTCCTTCATGCTAAGGTTTCATAGGAAGTGAAAACCCTGCTATTCAAACCAGCGATTGAATGCAATAAACAAATCATTACACACCCCCTAACCCCCATCACTTCTCTATTTTAAACTCCTAATATTTATTTCCATTTTAAATGAGAAAAGTGTGGAAAATTAGTGTTTGGGGTAAAGTCTGAGCCAGGCTGAAAAGGTTTCTAAAGGGGGGAAAATCTCAGAATAACAAAGGCTAAAAGCAGGCAGCGTATGGATGAAGATTAAACATTGATATTTCCTTTTCGGAAGATGGTGGCTGGAAATTATACCTTATTTTAATGTCTCAAAACTTTCTGCTCATCTTGCCATGTTAAAAATGCCTTTCTTTCTCTAAGGATACTATAAGGAGCTTGTTTACAACAGTTCTAAATGAAGGATTTGAAATCAAATGAAAAGGTAAAATTTAACAAGGCAGATAGATATCTCCCAAATCTGTCAAAAGTAGTGCCAAGTACTGCAATGTAGCTGGCAGGCATAAACAAACCCAAATGACCATCAAAACTCATCATGACTTGGAGTTGGCTCGGAGTTTTACAGTTTACAAAGAGACCACAGCAGTCTTGCCTTCCTCAGTTCTACAAGGAAACAAGATACGCACCTACAGACTCAAGTTGTCAGGTTACCCTGATCCTCTAAAATGGCAGAGGGCCAGCAATCATGCAGACCCATTTTCAGTTGTGACTGAAGGCCCAGCCTGTAATCCTGAGAGAAGAAAGCCTAGAGAACGTGACTGATTCGAAAAATGCTTTCCAGTTTTAAAATCTATAGTCCTGTGCTGTGATATCTTAAAGAACTCCCAAGGTGCCAGAGGTTCCTTACAGGTGAAACCAACTTCCTCTGTGAGCCCCCTCACAAAGAGGATAGAACAGTGTTTATTCTAAGGACAGGTTCTTTTTCAGCTATGACTGAATTGCGGGGAAGGTTTTGCAAGGGGGAATTGAATGTGAAATCTGTTCTTTTCCTTAAATAGATGGAAAGGACCAGGCTATTTTATTTTGTAATAAAGCTTATATTTACCCAGCAGCAATGATCAGGGACCTATGCCCAGTCCACGAGGCAAAGAGGTTGGCCTGATCCTCTATTCTGAGTATTAACAGCCAGTAACGATTAAATCATGGGACTAGTTGATATGTAGTGCCCCCAAGTCTGCAGGAATTATTCTTAAGACCCCAGACATGGAATCACTCTTTAGAGTTTCTTAAGGATGATTTAAAAGAATCGAAATACACTCAAGTCAGCCCTTTCTTTAATCCTGTAATACAGCACTGCAGGAGTGAGGGAGCCCCACGTAGTGATGCCAACTGGATGCTGAGGAGAGGTCAATAATGGAAGAAGAAAAGACATTCTGGAAGAAATTCAACTGGTATAATATTTGACAAAGTTACTTTCCTAGGAATTGAAAAAAGATTGAGAGGTGGGTGCACAATTTTCTTCACTGTTCATTCAGTTGAAAGTAAAAGAGACTCATCGAAAAAGGAGTGTGTATCTTTAGAAAATTTTCAATGATCATTTTCTTTCTCTTTCTAACTGGTCTTCAGTTCTGGTCAATTTCTTTCAATGTAAACACATTGATTTGGCAAAAGGCAGTAGAAAAAGGTGGCACTCTGGCACTTGGTCCCAGAAATAATGTGCTGAGAAGATTTGAGGTCTCTGGTGATGAGGTTAATTATCTATAAACCAGGCCTGGTGGGTTCTCCCTCTAGGGGTTCGGGTGCAGAGAATTAGATAGGGCTGAGGTATGAGAAGGGTGAATTCCTTCCCAGCCCCCACTCTGGCTGGTTCTACTGCCTTAGGGAGCAGACTTCCCTTTGCTCTGCAGCGCCCCCATGGGGCTAAGAGTGGAGTGGCAAGGGAAGCACAGGAGTGACAAGCTGTGTGTGTCTCAGGTTGTGGTGGACAGTGGATGAGGCTGAATGGCAGTTTTGACCAAAAAAATTGACCAAAATTCATAAAAGTAATCTTTTGAAGGATCAATAATAGGGCAGAGCCATACAATTCACATTCCGAACCACAGAGATACATCTGGGAAATCCTAAAGTGCTAACTGCTCATAAAAGAAGAAATTATCACACATATAAACACACAAAGAAAATCCCTTCTGCAAAATCGGGGTGTCATTTTGCATCCAGTGGGATTCATTTTAAACTCTTTGCAAATGAGGAGGAAGGGGACTCAAATGAAAAAGCAGATAGTCTGCCTTCTGGCAGAATAAATCTGAACTTGACAATATCATGTGTCTTTGGGGGTAAAGCATACATTTCAACAACAGTGACAGGATTAGGCCTATGTATATTTTTCAAAAACTCCTCACAAGACAGGCTTTTCTGCAGAGGCTGCAGTAATCCATCTGTCAATAAGTATTAAAATATTCAGATTTCACAGAGACAGACACTTAACGCATATTTCCTAAGCTCCAGCCCTTGTGGAAAATAATCAAATTCTCTGCACCTTCCTGGGTTCTAAAATCTACAATACAGCCTTTAAAAAAACGTTTGTATGTTGGGGGAGGTGGGGGTACATCACCAACAGCATTTTCAGTGACATCACCAACAGCATTTTCAGTGACAGATGAAACTTCTTACGGGACTGTCAGTGAAAGAGATCCCAAATATCCCAGCAAACAGCAATCTTTCACAGTTCTGATCACTCCTCCATTATAAACCCAAATTTGGGGTTGAGATAGGTAGATTATTTTAGGACATATCTTTATTAGAAGTTAACATGTGACGAGATTTTGTGGAACCTTTAAGAATTCATCTGTAATTTAATAAGTCGCTTGAAGGACTCTCATAGCCAAGGCTCAGAACAGCCTGACCTTTGAAAGCTGCTTCTGGTCCAAACATTTTGGGTTAATTCTTGAGGAATCTGAAATATTATTTTCCCCTCACACCCTTCTTTTAAGAGACAGACATAAAAGAAACAAGAGTCTCCCTTATTCAGGGATGAGTAGGAGGGGAAAAAACCCCAACCAACATTTAAATAAGGAAACTAGCAGCTCTGAACAAACAAACTAGGACCCACAATGAAATGATTTTGCACTGCAATTGCCTTTAAAAAGAAAGTAATAGAGAAAAAGAGAAGGAAACATTTTCCCCTTCTTCTCTTCCCCCCCAACTCAGCTTCAAGGCTAAGATCACCGTGCTGCGTGTAGTGCGTTGTAGTTCTAGCAGTCTGTTCTAAATACAGGCAGTATCTGTGATACTGGCACGGCAGGCCTTTAGAATTCCCTCCGGCTGATCTCTTAAACACAGACTGAAGAGATTTTTTACAACGACCTTGAAACGAGCCCCGAAAAGAAAGCAAGATCTTAAGAGAAAACAAAACACAAACACGTATTTGGCTCACAGAATTTTGTAGAAAACACACACACACATACCCCCCCCCCCCACACACACGTTTCTTGCAACAAGAAATTTCCCAAGAGTCAACAATAACAGAAAGATTAAACCCACCACTTGCTGTCCTGGAAAGAAACAAACCAAACCAAAACAAATCCTTTGAACATTTCTCTCAAGTACAGGAGAGACATACTTCAGCAAAAGTCCAAGGGGGAAAAAAAATTGCACCAAAGTGGGGGGGAAAATAAAAGTGGGGGCTGGGATTGTTACATATGGCCAAAAATTTAAGCTTCTTTCAACAGTATTAGTACTGAAACAATACATCTTCTTTAAAACGCTTGAGAGATTAGATAGAGAAAGAAAAGGCACGCACAAAAAAATCCAACCGATGCCGATCCTATGATTTACGTAACACCACAAACTTGCAAAAGGCAAAAAATCAGAAGCAAAAATCCATAAACCATCAAAATACAGCAACCAAAAATCCCAAGCCACCATGCCAGAAAGAAAAAACCCCAGAACAACAGCAAAAACCCCTGTCCTAAATAAAAATAAAGCAAATGAACCCACCGAAAACTGCTTGGCAAATATTTTTCTCGTGGTGCTTAATATTCTAGCTGAAAAGAGCTGTGGTGTTTATTGTTTTTTTTTTTTTCCCCCTCTTACTCGCGTCTCTAACCCTACTATACATAACATACTTTTTCCAGTGGTTCAAACCTCTCGCTCCCTTTTGTGCATTTAGCTCGAGGAGCTGAGTTTATGGGTAAGAGAGGAGGAATTAGCCCCAGACCCCGGGAAAGCAAAGCGCACTCCCCCTCTTATGTCACCGAATAGCAAATTAGTTCTCAGAATTCCAGAGGCCGAGCTTTGCTACAGCGAAGGCGCCGACGTCACAGAGGAGGAGCCCACGTGACGGTGGCGGAGCAGGCCAGACCATCGTCTCGGGCCCGGGGAGGGAGAGCCACATTCAGGTCCCTCCAGCCTCGAACCCGAACCTCCAAATCCGAGACGCTCTGCTGATGAGAACCTCGAAGTATGCCGGCCGGTGAAAAAATCTTGTGGCTTTGAGGGCTTTTTATCGGCCAGGGGAGGCAAAAATCTCTGCGAGCTGACACCAAGTCCTCCCCTGCCACGTAGCAGTGGTAAAGTCCGAAGCTCAAATTCCGAGAATTGAGCTCTGTTGATTCTTAGAACTGGGGTTCTTAGAAGTGGTGATGCAAGAAGTTTCTAGGAAAGGCCGGACACCAGGTGATTATTGCTGTTGCTGCCGCCGCTGCTGCTGCTGCTGCCGCCGCCGCCGCTGTTGCCGCTGGTGCCGCTGCCGCCGCCGCTGCTCATGATCATTATTTTACCTTTTAATTCTTTTTTTTTCCGCTCTTGCCAAATGCTTTGGCTCCAAGTTTTCTATGTGTATCTATTGATATAAATGTATATATTTATTTATTCTAGCTGTCAGGTGTTAAAATAAATGCCGAAGATTAGTCCCACGTCTCTCCCACTCTAGGATATAGATTTTTAAAATGTATTTATTATTATTATTGTTGTCTTTGAGTGAATCGGCCGGTTTGGGGAGGCTTTTGCCACCCTCCCTTGTGCTGTTTTGGTTTTTGGAAAGGAGGTGGAGGAGAGGAAGGAGGGGAATTAGGGGGCGGCCGGAGCAGAGAGGACGAGACAGTGCTTGGGGGGCGATTCGGGCAGGTCTGGGGGCTGTCTGGCCCCGGACCGCGGAGAGGACGCGCGCTCGCGCTCTCGCTCTTTCTGCTGCTGCTTGCGTACGGCTTGTGCTCTCTCTGGATTCGTGCGGCTGTGTTTTTTCCCTCTTTTCTCGCTTGCAAACTGCTTTCCTTGCTCCCTCGCTCCTGGCCTCGCCTTCCCTCCCTCCTCTTTTTCCTCGCGGCTTCTTCCTTCCCTTCCCCTGTCCTTCTGGGTAACTCCGGGAGGCGAAAAGGGAGGCTGCCCGCTCGCTCGCCCCGCTGGCTCTCTTCCACCGGCCTCGGTCCTTTAGATTCCCTGCCTTCGAGCCGAACCGAGATTTGGAAGGAAAAAATGCAAGCGAACTCCTCGGGTTTTTGTTTTTGTTTTTGGTCATAAATCCAGATGAGATGAAGTATCGTGTCTACTATTTCCTTTCAGAGCCTTGATCTTCCTAACGAGAGACGAGTGTTTTGGTGTCCCCTGCCCCTGTGTTTTGGGGAGCTTGGGGGCGGGGGTATTGAACACTTTGAAAATTATTCTTTCTTGGTTGTAGTCAAGGGAGTCGGGAACCTCCGCGCGCTCTCCCTGCTCATCCCGAGGAGAGAGAGGTTGATGGCGGGACAGGGCTTCTTCGGGTGGGTGGGAAAGGGGTGCGCATTGCACCTGCGGTGCCTTTCGGCGTGCGGGGGGACTCAGGGCACCTCGACAGGACGGCCCGGGAGAACGAGAAAGGTGGCGGGATTTCTGGCCGCCGCGGTGTTTGTATTTTGAGCTCTGCGTGACTCTGTGTTGGCTCCCAATGGCTGTTCCCTCCCTTTCCTAAATTTTATTTTATTTTTCCCATGGTGCAAGCTTTGTAAAAAAGGAACTGCGGGCCTGAGCGTAGTGGACGCCGGGCGTCAGATTCCTGAGGTCCCTACCCTGGGCGAGGAGAAAGACGAACCGAGCCCCAGCCCGCGTTCCTTCTGTGCGAGACTCGGGAGGAGAGAAGGGCACTTTGTGGCTCTGGCTGGGGGGGACCCGGCGCGGGAGGAGCGGGCGCGGGCGCGGGCGCGAAAGGAAGATCTTTGTGAGTGATTTTGCAAAAAATAGATTGCGAGGTTGGTTGGATTTGCAACCTGTGGCTCTCCTCGAGGGAGTAAGAATGGGGGAAGGCGGCGGCGGCGGCGGCCCGGGGAGGGAGTGGGCAGAGTTGGAGCCTCAGAAATCGGCTGAGCTCCGGGGGCGGGCGAGGAGAAGGGGGGGTGGGGGCAGCAGGAGCTAGGGGCCACCCCACTGCCGGATGTAGTGACCGTGGTAAATGTCTTGAACTGTGGGTTGCGTTGCCTTTATGATGCCGTGTTATTGGAACCCTGGCGAAAAATGGAAGTAGTGTTGCAATAATGAGTTTTAAAGCTCCCCCATGGAAAACAAAAACACAGCTAAACCGATTTAAAAAAAAAAAATAGCAAAAAGACCCTCTGTGTTGTGTTCCCTCCCTGGATGGTTGAGTTGGTGGCTGGGGTTTGGGGATGGGGGTCCTGACAGGTGAGCAGATAAATGACCCCAAACCAGGTGCTTGCTGAAAGTCCCAAGCTGTTACAGGGCCCCCGACCACCTCAGCGTGCCAATCTCCACTCCCCTCCCATCTCCCCACCACCCACCACCCCACAACCCGCCAGGATTTAATCTTTTATGGATTTTTTTTTTCAATCAGTTTATAGTTTCCAGGAGGAAAGTCTTGTAACGCTTTACTTTTTCTCTTCTTCTTCTTCTTCTTCTTCTTTTTTTTTTTTTAAAGTAAAGTGAGTGTCAGTAGCTGTGTTTTTCACAGTCTGGATTAAAAAAAAAAGTGGGGCAGGAGAGAGGGAACCAGGGAAAGGGCTGTTTAGAAATACAGTTTGTGGCTCTGAGCAATGCCACTGGCTTCCTCTACACAGACTGCCAGTTTCCCTTTTTCTTTGCAAGGTGTGTGTGGTTTTAATAAATAACTTAAAAAAAAAAAAGAGGGGGCGGTAGGATCCATCAGGAGACAGGTATCTGTTTTGCTCACTATTTACTACCAAGAGCCTTTGGCACTGGAACAGAACCTCGTAAATCTGCAGCCCAAGTTGAAGTTCATCTGGCCCTAGTCCACACGCTGTTCCTGGAGGTAGCAAACATGAGCTCAAAGGAGAGAGATGAAATCACATTATTGCTTTAAAATATATACTTTTTAAAAAGAGAAGAAAAGATATCTGTCTCTGGGGAAGGAGGAAGTGGTGAATAAGTATCAGGAGATGGGCATTCCTTTACTCTAATGACTGCAGTTGAGTCTTCGGGCCAAAATAGAAACCTGTAGATGGGAAATATCCCCCCCAACTCCCCCCCCACCCCAAGTTTATAAATAGAAGTTTCCAGTATCCTATTTGGAAGACTTTCCAATACTAGAAGCTGAAGCATTGGCTAGTTTTAGGGGTCTGTTGATAGTGACAAGAAGCCTAGATGCTGTTCATCAAAACTAGGCGACTTGAGGGAGAAAGTCAGGAAAAGTGGGAATTCTCCAATTATCCCTTTCCTCTTCTTTTCAGTTTTGAAGGGTTTTATTCCAATGCTTTCTTGAGAAGACTAATTTATTCTGGGTTTGGTGGACAGGGATGGGACTCTAGATTCTTAAGTTGTCGTTTGCTGAGCCCTTGAAGAGTTCCAGTTATTGGTTGAGTAAATGGTAGCCATGGATAGATGTCAAAACCCTTCCTTCCCTCTCCCCCGCAGGGTAGTCACACTCACAACCCAGTTTGTTGTGAAAAACTTCAGAGATTGAGAGGAGGCGGTGCAGCAGCGCCACCCCTCGGTAGGTGAAACTATTGGCAAAAGTCAATTTTTGGGAAATATTGGGAAGTGACCTGATGAAGCATTATTTCCCCCCCAGAGATTTAAAAAAGAAAACATAAGGGAGATAAAACTAATTGAAAAAAAAAAAAAAGGACTTTGCAGTTTATCAAGTACGGAAGAAAAATGTTGCTTTCCAACTAGGATGGTGTCATACTAGGCAACGTGGTTCTAATATATGTATATATTTTGTGGGGGGGGGAGGGTGCCTGGTTGACTTTAAGTAGAAGAGTTCTCCAGGCGGAGGTGGCCCGCCCTTCCCCTCGGATTGACTTCTCGGGGCATCTGAATTCTGCCGCCCGTCTAATGCTGAGATCGTGAGGGATGTTTTGGTGTAAAACGTCAGAGCGGCTGGAGGTGCTGTAGTTTTGCCGGCGGTGGTAGGGCGTGTGTGTAGGGGGTGTGTTGAGGAGGTTTGTGGATGGCGTGGAGCAGCGGTAGGCTGGTCTGCAGCCCTCTGTGAGTCAACATGGAATGGCGCGTGCCGCTTTCCAGCACTGCGCAACAAGTGGGGCCGCGGCCGCCAGCACAGCGAGGGTGCCGCGCAGTGGCAGCCCAGGCCGGTGTGGGGGCCAGGAACGGCCCCTCCCAACCCTCCCGATGTCCGCTCCGAGACCCTCAGCTCCACCGAAAGCGCACACCCGACTCCCCAGAACTCCCCCGCTTTGCTGGGCGCCGTGAGCCCGAGTGAGGACCCAGGCCTCGGCCCCCAGCGCCCCTTTCCTCCGAGGCGATCAGGAGTTTTTTATTCCCGACTTTCTTTGCTGGACGACCAGTGGTTGGCAAGAATCTCTGCCCAAACCGTCGAGTGCCATTCTGCCTTTTGAAGACAAGTGCGCCTACTTTCCCTTTCCAGTACGTAAAGCTTTTCCGGGGGAAAAAAAATCAACTTAGAGTACATGAAAGCGGCTCCGGATACCCGCGTTGTGGCTGCTACAGGCGGGAGCGTCGGGAAGAAGGGACGGCATCCACTACATTAACTGTTTTCCAGCTTTGCTTTTAGAGGCAATCCCACCCCCACCCTCGCCGCCACCAGACAGAAAATAAAGCGGGGCGGGCAGGGATCGGAGTGGAAGCTGCGGCCGCGCGGCGGTTCTCGGACGGGCCGGCCTGCCACCTAGCGGTGGGCTGGATCGAGTTCGCGGCCAGGGGCGGCGGGCTCGCGGTGCCACCTCCCGGGCGGGCGGCCGGCCGTACCCTGACCACATGCTAGGAGGCCACCCTCCAGGCCTACGACCTCCAAAGTTGTGTTTGACAAGAGGGATGAAAATCAGAAAGGCCTCGCTGCTCGCCCAGTCCACCGTCACTCAGCGATGAGCATCCATTTCCACTAAGAGAAACCACAAATAACCCGCTTCGAACCCACCATCTTCCTGTCCCCGCGGCCCTTCTCAGGAGGAGTCGGTAGTGGGAGGATGCCCTCCAGGAGCTCAGGGGCTCTGGGACGTACAACTCTTTTTTTTTTTTTTTTTTTTTTTTTTTTAAACAGTTGAGGAAACAGGCCCGACGAGGAGGCTTGTTAGTGGTGAGTTAGTGACTTAACCAGGACCAGATTTTAAGCTTCTGAATTTCATGCCAGCGTCTGAAAGTCAAAGGCAAGCTTATCTCAGCTCCTTTGAAGTGTCCATGAGAAAGAAGCGGCAGCCAGAACCAGGAGTTTAACCTCTTAGGACACCTTATTTGCCAGCGCTCACTGGAAACCGTTCCACAGCAGCCTTGGAGGAGTTATTTTTTTTTAAAGAAAATATGGCTTAAGATTTTCAGTGATAGACAGGAAAAGCCCAGATGGTGCTGAGGGGTGGGGGTCTCAGAGCTCGGGGGTTCGCGTGTTAGATGTGTGTGGGGGGTGGTGAGGGCCTGGGCCAAACACTTGCAGGGGCGAGCCTCGATCCCGAAACCGCTGTCTTCCCCTTCCTTCCATCCCTTGCATGGTAGCCTGGCGAGAAACCGGGGATGTGTGCGTGAGGGGGCGGGGGTCATGTGGACTGGCCAGAATCTGTGCCACAATAGCTCCTCCGTAAAGTTTTCTTTCTCCGAGCTCGTGACTTAAGATGGCAAACGCGCGTCCGCAGGCTGGCGGCCCCTAGCGGCGGCCGGCGCGCTCTGCAGCGGGGGACGGCGCCGTGTCCCCCGCCCCGGTCCGCGGGGATCGAGTTCAGCCTCTCCCACTGCGGGAGCCGTCGGAGGCCGCGTCGGAGAAACGCGCCTCTGTTCGGGCTGGAAACGAATCTGGGAACGTGTTTGAAGCGCGGTCAAGTTTGACTCATCGCTTTCCAAGGACAGTTAGTGCCTTCCATCTTCATTAACGTGAATAAGGACCTTGGCTGACTTCTTTCCAGATCGGATTTTTAAAGGCATTGTTTGCTTGAGATCACGCCTCTCCCCTCCCGCGCCAGCCTTTTTTTTTTTTTTTTTCCAAAGGCTGAGCCCAATCCAGCCAGGATGGCCGAGGGATCTCTGCCCCGGGACGTGATTTGCTGGCATTGTCTTGGAGCCCTTCTGGAAGGCTGTCTTGAGCTGAGCGTTTGGGGAGCGTCCCTTCTGCAACTCCTCTTCAGATCTTGATGATAAAACACATCCTTCTGTTTTATTGCATTTCCTAGAAGCTTGCAGGCTTGTAAGAGCGCTGTTGGCAGGAAACGTGATAGAAATGAAACTCAGGACATCATGTCCTCGGACACCTCGGTTACCTAAAGCGGCTGCCGAGGCCATCGTGTTATCAAATTTGCTTTTATCCACTGTCGCCTCCCGCACCCTCCCGTCCCCCAGACAAGAGGGCGAAGAGTGTTTTTCCCTAAGAATAAAAACAACTCAGCGGTCCGACCTCACCCCCTGCCGCCGGACCCCGGTGGTGTCTACGGCCGTGCAGAGACTCTGCGGAGACCGGGAGCCCCACCGCAGGGCCCCTGATGCGGGGTTCACTCCGGCAGCTCCAGTCTTATTAAAATTCCTTGTCCTTGTCCCTAAACAGTGCTTTACACTTTCAAATTCCCCTTTGGATTTTTCAGCGAGTTATTGGAGTTATTAGATTACCAATAATCCAACAGCCGGCCTGGCTGGAAAGGCGGGGGGAAGGGCGGAAGGCATTCTCCAAATCAGGAGGCTCTGGCCAAACTAGGTCAATGGGAAGGAGGGGAGGGGCGAGAAAGGGTTGGACCGTTTCAAACCTTGATAGAGGGCTCTCTCTAGTGTTAGGCAGCGGTAAAAACACCCTTAGGTTTGAGCTCCCGGAATCACGGGACTCCAAATTGCCAATAAATGCACTTACTCAAGTTTAACTTCCTAGATTCTCATCCCTACCCCATATTAAAACCCAACCTTCTCTTTCACCTTTATCCCCCCGGGCGAAGGGGTAAGAAGGCCTCAATGTAGAATTTTGAGGCCAAAGAGTCTCAGCCTTTGAGGACCGACTCTGACCTTTCCGCTGCCGCAGAAGGGCTGAGCGGCACAGAGTGGCGCCACTGGCTAGTTTTAGGACCTGACTGCAGCCTTGTTTGCTGAGTCTTTCGCCGTCCCCTGACCCCCAAAAGCGCACTCCGGAGCTTGCTACAGAGACCAAATAGGGCAGGGCACCCCAGGGTTATAATTCCCGGGAGGGCCGCAGGAAGATGAAGCAAGCGTGGAGAGCGCCCGTGCGCGCGCGGGGGTCGGGGCGGGGTCTCTGCCCAGTCCAAGCCGGGTCTCCACGGTTTCGGGAAAATCGGAATCGGAAATCCTTACGGCCTGGCAGCTCCTATTCTATAGACTTTGGGCGGAAACCAAGTGGAGCTGGGTTCCCGTTCTTGCCAACGTCGGCGGAAGGGGCTTTCGGTTTAGTTTTTCTCCAACCTTGGCTGGGGCGCCTTTGATGGAGACTCTCAGTCCTAGGGATTCCATCTTTTTGACCTTGAAGTCTAGCCCAAACATCCCCCTAAAAGAAGGGGGACGAGGGAGAATGGAAGGCAAAAAGAGGAAAAAAGGCAAATAAACTTCGGAATCCGGCAACTTAAAGTCACGATATCAGCCTCAGATTGGATTCCAACTCCTGGGTTCTAGTCCCAGCTCTGCTGCTAACTGACCTTCCCCGTTAACAAATTGTTGTGTGTGAGAGGTTGGACTAGGTGAACTCTGAGAGCCCTGGACTCGGCGCAGACGAGGGATTTAGGGGAAAGTGTGCTGTATTCCCCGCGAGCCTTCCCCGGCGGCCCCGCCTCCCCTGGTGAATCCCCGGCGGCCGGCGCAGCGCAGGCAGAGATCCTGGCGGCTGCCGAGCCCGGCAGCTTCCTGGAAAGTTACTTCTCGTTGGAGCCGGCGATAGGCAGAGCATGTTCTGTGAAATCCGCAGAGCCGAGATTGACTACGTTCCGGGAATGAGAGGGCTGTGCCATTCCCCTCATTGCCTGATGCCTTGACGGCGTAACAGGAAAAAAAAAAAAAAAAAAAAAAAAAAAAAAGGCATACACACAATGTTAGCCACCGAGGTGTACGAAAAGTTTTATTTGAATGTAACTAAATTAAGGGCCGCCACAGTCATTCCACAAAGCCTCCGTCTCGCCTTGCGGGGGGCTTGGAGGTGGATCGCCCAGGGGCGGGCAGTCTCTGGAAGACAGGTACGGTGTCGTCGGGGTGGGGTAGTGAGGTCTGCCCAGGCTTGCCCCGGCCCGCAGGGCTCCTGTTTGTGCTCTTGTGTGTGAAGCAGAAAATGGGGCTGCCTGGTGCCAGCCCAGGGGAGGAGGGAGGAAAAGGATGGGGTCTTTTGTATTGGCTAGCTCTCTGCCTCTTAACCTCGCCTCTGGCTCTTCTCTCATTTCCTCTCTTTCTTTCTCTCTCTCTCTCTCTGGCTTCTGCTGCTGTCTTCTCTCTCTTTGCTTTTTTATTTTTGGTTCCTGTTTTCTTCTTCAGTGGACAGCTTTTTTAAAGGATCTGCCTTCTCAAGGAGCCTAGTTGGATATGCACAAGGAAAGCTCCAAAGGAGCTAAAGGGAGGAAGGGAGGAGAAAACACCGAGCCCTCCCATGGTGGTTACAGAGCCGGGGGAAGAGGTGGGGGGGGTGCCCGGACATTGGGATGGGAAGTCCGGGTCTGGGGACAGCAGCTGTCAGTTTCTCATTGACAGCCCTGCTTTTCCTCGGAGATTGTTTTTGCGGGTAGTCTTGTGTGTGGCATTGGTGGCATGGCTGAATCTAGGAGATGCGACCTGTCCAGGACTTGCTGGAAATTGGCTTTGAGATCTTGGGCAAGGCTTCTCACCTGGAGCTTCAGTTCCCTTCCTGATAAATTGGGGCTGTTAGAAGGATAAGACGCAATCAGGAGGGCTGGGAAAGGACTAAGAGCTGTGTACAAAAGCAAACTAAATGCTGGTGGTGCGTCCACACCTGTGGCGTCTAGGGTGGGGGCGGTGACAGCATTGCCCACACTCAGCCCACAGGCTCGGGAGTTGAGGGGAGGGCCTCTTAAGAAGAGCTGGCTTACAAAGGAGTGAGCTTGATAAGGACCTTCGCCTTGTGTGTGTATATTTGCTTTTGGTCAGGCAGAGGCTTAAGGTGAAAAGCCCAAGTCCCAGCTGACAGTAGACACAGGGGAACTTGTTTGTTTGTTTCATTCTGCATCTGGAGTGAGTCATTGCCACTTGTCATGGTGAAATGGCAAATCTGGGCTTCCTGTGGTTCCAGAAGCCTGCGCCTGGAAATCCACAAGCGAGCTGGTGGTTGAAGCTGGTTAAAGAACAGCCTAGGTATTCCAGAAGTGTTTGAGGATCCCTTCCATGAGGGAAGAGAGGCAAGTTTATAAGTAAACCTCCCATGTGTCTTCAGCTTTCTTTTGCAAAGGAGAAAATCCTTGAAGTTTGGTTAAGACCGAGTTAGTATATCTCTCTTTGCCTATCTTGAGTTGGGATGGGGAGAGGAGGAGATAGGTCCTTTGGTCTTTTTCTGTCCTCTCCTTTCCCCACTTCCTTCCCTGCAGACCCCCACTTGCTCACATGCACACACTAACCTTGGAGACGATGGGATTGAGTGACTGGCACTTGGGACCACAGAGAAATGTCAGAGTGTTTGGTTACAGACTCAAGGAAACCTCTCATTTTAGAGTGCTCATTTGGTAAGACTCAGCAGCCTGGAATGGGGCAAAGTGTTTGTGTGGGGGAAGGAACTTAAAAATGAGATTCACCCACATCAGGGTGCTGTCTTGCATGTTCTACAGCACGTAGGCTGATTTGGAAAGGGGACAGGAATTTGAGCCAGAAGACCTAGGGCCGGGCCACTAACCATCTACATGGCCCAACATGACCTTGCTGGCCTCGGGCCTCTTTACCCGGAAAATAGCTCTAAAAGGTTCTACTTTTTTTTTTTTTTTTTTTTTTGAAGGGGGAAAGACAGTTCAAATACTGCCTTGCTTTTCAGCCCACATTTGATCGTAAATGAGAGTCTTACACCTCATTTTGTTTTAGAGAAGCCAGTTTGGAAGAGGTACACATTTCATTAAATCTCTTTAAGGTTTAGTGCTGCCTGGCCAGTTCTCAGCTAAGTCACATAGTTAAGTCTTTTACCAGCAGGCAGAAGCACAGACTTGGAGGCAATAGCATTCTGTCTGGTCTTAGACCCAGTAGGGCAGGGAGAGAAAACTTTGAAAAAGAAGACAAAGGTTTTCAAGGAATACATAGACAAGACATCTCAGGTTGTATTCTCCAGAGCCTATATCCACTCTTAATGTTTCAGAGAGGCAGGGAATACCGCCTAGCTGTTTGTTTGAGCAAGCCACGTGAACCCCTAAGTCTCAGTTTCATCGCCAGTGAAATAAGGATAAAGATATTCGCCCTATCATCCTGGTGAAATCATCCTAAGACTTCAAAGATAAAATTTTAGCAGGCTTTGAATGGCGTCCAGCATATTCAGGCCACGGATGGATCATTATCATTAATGTTGACAGAACTACTTTTCTTATTTTTCTTTCCCTTAAACTCAAGTGGCCTTTGGATGGTATAAATTTTTTTTTTCTTTGAAGCAGGAAATACATGTATGTATGGATGTATGTATAAGTAATTAATGTATGCAATTATACTCCTAGTACTCAGGATAAAAACAATATTATCTCATAGCTTCGGGTGCCTGTTGTTTCCGTAAGAGCAGAGCTGGAAAACGTTTGTTAGCTTGCGGTAAAACCACACCAGCTGGCAAGCTGCAACTATCAAAGCAAAACTAAATGTGTATGTCCTAAAATAAGACTATAGTGGACAATCTTACATTCGTTAAATCAATTCCTGTTTGCTTTCTTCTCTGCAGGTTTTAAGCAAAATTTTGGACTTTGAAGCAAGGCATTGGGTAAGTAAATCAAATTATATGCTTTAAAATGTTGGGACGAGCCGTTTCTTTTTGCCAATGCATGTGTTCTGTGAACTTTGCCACCTTTCATTATACGAGATAAGGATGACCAGCTCCCTCTACGTCACTCGTAGTCCTCACTCCTTCACCTCTATGTTAGACGTCTTAACATTTGTATGGTCAATCGTTCTCTTACTATTTCTTTGTACAAACTGATTAAGCCAGCTGCTATTCACCAGCAGTATGCAAGCTCCTCGAGGTACAAAAGTCGGGCGCCTCTAAAGCCTAATGGTGGATAGACCAGTGGTGACTGAGATGATGAAATCAGACACGTACGAGAATAGCTGTCAGTTTTGAGAACTACTCTGGACGAGGAATGTAGTTCTAATTTTTATAACCACATAGGCATTACTACTTCCATCTGGGGAAACCAAAGCCAAAAATGAGTCAACGACCTGCTTAAAGTCCCACAGCTAGCAGAAGACAAGTCTAGCCTGATAATCTTAAAACACCATGTCTCCATCTCTCCATTTCAGCATACTCACTGCCTCTCAGTGCTTGCCAGAATCTTTGGTATGTGGGAGAAACACTCAGCAAACATTCATTCCCTTTGCCTTTCCCCTAAAGAGCTTTCTATCCCAACTTATTGGATAAAAGTTATTCTCCCCATTTTACAACTGCGAAGAATAATGGCCACACTTGGGGTATGAACTGTTCAAAGATCAGACACAAGGGACCCGAGTTGCACTCTGTACCTCAGGAGGCTGAGCCACCTACTCTGATACCCGTGGCAAGCAGGAAACAGGTTCTGGAGGATTAACAGGATTTTGGCCTCTTTTTTCAAGTGAAGACAAAATGGCCTCGCCGGCTGACAGCTGTATCCAGTTCACCCGCCATGCCAGTGACGTTCTTCTCAACCTTAATCGTCTCCGGAGTCGAGACATCTTGACCGATGTTGTCATTGTTGTGAGCCGTGAGCAGTTTAGAGCCCATAAAACAGTCCTCATGGCCTGCAGGTGAGGGGTCTGAAAGGAAAGGGTGGGTGAGTCAAAGTAGGGTGATGGTGTGGCAGCCAAGCAATGTGAAACATGTACGCCTTTTACTGCATCTGGGACGATGTCTCGCTGTGTCTCCGGGTCTCAGCACCATGGCCTGGCAGGGTAGGCTCCCAAGGAGTGAATGAATGAATGCAACTTTTAGAAAAGAAGGAGTCATATTCTGTAGCAATAGTGGGAGAAAAGTTGTATACTGCCCCAAGAAAGGATGTGTTTGGGGCAGACATGGAGAGTAACTTCAGTTAACCAAGTGAAAAAATGACAAAAGATTTCAAATGAACTTTTGTCTTTAAGTAGCTTAAGCAAGTTAATTTGAAATATTTTGTTCTTTTATGCTATAAATGTATTTATTTTATGCCACAACTGAATTTCCATGGGTGTTCAGAGTATATGTAAGAGTTAATAAGAGTGAACTAGCTGATTCTTCATGTTTATCAAGTATTTTGAGTTTTCAAAGCAATTTTATATTACATGATGTCATCTCCCCGGATCTTCCTAGCAGCCTTCAGTGTCGTGCTACACTATGGCCTTCATTTTATAGATGGTAAAAAGAAAGCACAGGGAGGGGAAATGACGTAGAATCAGGGATCCCTGTTGCTGTTTGATAATGTATCCAACATTTGCTGTAAGCACCTGTTTTTTAACAGTGGAAATAACAGAGGTTTATAGAGATATAAAAGTAATAGACGATGGTTAGTGAATGCTTGCTATATGACAGGCACCATTCTATATCCTTTACATTTTCATTCGTGCACAACACTATAAGTTAGACACGATTGTTCCTCCTACTTTGAAGAAGAGTAAAGCAAGATGCCGAGAAGCTAAGTGTCTTCTCCAAAGTCACACAGCTACTCGGTGGAAGTCTGGCTGACTTCTGGCAACTCACTCAGAAATAGTAGAATTGAGAATCAAGATGGTAGCCCAGGATTCTCGTTTACAACTGAGTACTCTTTCCACCACCAGACAGCATGGCACCTGGAGGCATTGCTTGGGGTTTGACTTGGGTCTTCTAGGAATAACTGACCCTCTGTTAATCTAAGGACTTTGATAAAAGCAGGAGGGAGGTGAAGGCATATTTTTATTTCTTTGTCATTCATACCTAAATTCTAAAAAAAAAAAAAAATAGAATTAAAAAGGTAAGTATAAGTGCAATAGAACAAGAGGGAATGCTTATGCCAAGGATAGACTAAGAATAGTTGCTGCAAATGAGTGCTAAATTTAACTCCGGTAATCCGTATCGTTAAGACTAAAAGGAAAACAGGCCCTGTGACTTTTAGAATATTCACTTACCCCCTCTGATCTTAGTTCCCCCAGTTGTAAAGGCAGAGAATGATAGTACCTATCTTGCAGGGTTGTAAGGAGCAAAGGATAATGTGCGTAAGGTGCTTAATGACTCTCTGATTTGGTGAGCTCTCCATGAACAGCAGCTAGTATTGATTACCGTGGAAGTTCTGGAGGTGGGCCCAGGGGAGAGGGGCTGAGTGTCAATGCTGACTGTAGTGGATCACAGATTCCATATGTCTACTGTAGTGGGACATCTGTTTGTTTTACAGTGGCCTGTTCTATAGCATCTTCACAGACCAGTTGAAATGCAACCTTAGTGTGATCAATTTAGATCCTGAGATCAACCCCGAGGGGTTCTGCATCCTCCTGGACTTTATGTACACGTCTCGACTCAATTTGCGGGAGGGCAACATCATGGCCGTGATGGCCACAGCTATGTACCTGCAGATGGAGCATGTTGTGGATACTTGCCGGAAGTTCATCAAGGCCAGGTGAGTTGGTACCTGGGTAGAAGCCTCGGAGATGGCAGAGACAGTCCTTGATCAGAAACCTTTGATAATTCATGCACACAGAAAAAATAGTCCTCTATGATGTGCTGCAACCCCATTTCCACTCGTTGCGCACTTCTGCTCTTCTTAACTCTTGTGTCCCAGGCACACTTAACTCCTGTGGCTATGCAGAGGTGTCCTGTGCTTTACCGCATCTTGCTTTCTTCCATTCACTTAATATACCCTCTCTTCCAACCCATCTTGCAGGGCCAATCTTGGATTTCAGCCCTTCCATGGAAGTCTTTCTGATTACCACTTTTCCTCCCTCAGCTCTTCCTCTGTGTTGCAAAGCATTTGGCCTGTGCTTTAAACTTTCCTTCTATGTTAAATTTGCATATGTATTTTAGTTCTCCTTCTTCTGTTATAACTATTTACATATGTGCCTTAGTTCCCTACTAGACTGTGGGCTGCTCAAGGTTATGGGGCTATCTTACTTATCTTTTATGTCACGCTGCTCCTACTAGGCAGGACATTACTGAATTGAGTGGAGTTCACTGAGTTTAACCTCTTACCCAAGGGTTGGTAAGACATGACCTTCATTTAAAGGTGAGGAACTTGAGATCCAAAGAAGTGAAGAGGTTCGCTAAGTGGAACAGAGATTCAGAGCTTAACTTCTTCAGAACCATTTGATACAGCCACGCTAGGGTGATTGCATCCTCGCCCAAACAGAAGGGATTTCCAGGCTGTGTTTGAAAACCTCCGGGAGCCAGGACCTCAGTGTTCTCAGAACCACACAACATACCGTGCACAGTTAGAAAGCTTCTCCTTTTGGCCTCTCTTTAGACTTCTGATTGGTTCTAGCTCCAATAACTGTGATCGTGGTGAGCTGGCCTGTTTATTTTGCCCACGTAATGTCCCTTCAGGTATATACAGATAGAGTTCTTTGTCTCCTGTGGGTGACAAAGGTGGCAAGATCATCATTGCTGTCATTTACAAGTACTTTCAGTGGGTCAGGCCTTGGGCTTAGAATGGCTAAGTAACTTGCTCCGGGTCACCTGGCTGCTAAGTGACACAGCCAGGTTTGCAGACCTTGCTGCCCGTTCTGTCGGAAACTTTCATCAGCATGTGGGGCAAATTCTTTCTTCAGGAGGTTACCCGTTTGTGTAGGAGCCTCCAAAAGGGCCATACCAACATGGTACAAATTCTTCTTTTCCTGTTTCCCTGTGTGTAAAATGGAGGCAATAATCATTGCCTTTCCTTCCGTTCAGGATTTTGCAAGGGCGAAATGAGACAAGGGCTTTGAAAGTTTTATGTGAGCTATAAAATTTTATAACATCGGAAGAGCTATAGATTCACACACATGCATAGATATGTGCTTTAAACATAGAAGATCATGTCTAATCAGGCAGCCTGCCACTGAGGAGTGCCCCTGGGTGTGAGAGCAGAGCCTTTGCCCCCAGCCTGTTCAGTGGCCTGTCCACACCACCAGCCTCTTGCCCCGTGTACAGCCACCTCCCTGTCAGCAGCTTCCTCTTCTCCGATGAGGAGCCGGGAACTCACTGCCCTGTTCTGGGCCTCAGTTTTCCCAATTGTAGCCTGGATTTTCAGGCTTCTAGCATAAACGCGTCGTAATTCTGTTTCCCTGCTCCAGAACCACGTCACCTATGTCTAGCTAATTCAAGCACAGATGTGGTTATATAAGTGTCCCTGGAAGGTCATCTATTTAACAGTTCTGATTTGGGACCGGTGTCTTTCCTCCTTTTTCCTCCCACAGTGAAGCAGAGATGGTTCCTGCCATCAAGCCTCCCCGTGAAGAGTTCCTCAACAGCCGGATGCTAATGCCCCAAGACATTATGGCCTATCGGGGCCGTGAGGTGGTGGAGAACAGCCTGCCGCTGAGGAGTGCCCCTGGGTGTGAGAGCAGAGCCTTTGCCCCCAGCCTGTACAGTGGCCTGTCCACACAACAAGCCTCTTACTCCATGTACAGCCACCTCCCTGTCAGCAGCTTCCTCTTCTCCGATGAGGAGCTTCGAGATGTCCGCATGCCTGTAGCCAACCCCTTCCCCAAGGAGCGGGCCCTCCCGTGCGACAGTGCCAGGCCAGTCCCTGGTGAGTACAGCCGGCCGGCCTTGGAGGTGTCCCCTGGCGTGTGCCACGGCAATATCTATTCGCCCAAGGAAACAGTCCCAGAAGAGGCACGAAGTGATATGCACTACGGTGTGGCCGAGGGGCCCAAGCCTGCTGCCCCCTCAGCCCGAAACGCCCCCTACTTCCCCTGTGACAAGGCCAGCAAAGAAGAAGAGAGACCCTCCTCAGAAGATGAGATTGCCTTGCATTTCGAGCCCCCCAATGCGCCCCTGAACCGGAAGGGTCTGGTGAGTCCACAGAGCCCCCAGAAATCTGACTGCCAGCCCAACTCGCCTACAGAGTCCTGCAGCAGTAAGAATGCCTGCATCCTCCAGGCCTCTGGCTCCCCTCCAGCCAAGAGCCCCACTGACCCCAAAGCCTGCAACTGGAAGAAATACAAGTTCATCGTGCTCAACAACCTCAACCAGAATGCCAAACCAGAGGGGCCAGAGCAGGCTGAGCTGGGCCGCCTTTCCCCACGAGCCTACACCGCCCCGCCTGCCTGCCAGCCACCCATGGAGCCTGAGAACCTTGACCTCCAGTCCCCAACCAAGCTCAGTGCCAGTGGGGAGGACTCCACCATCCCACAAGCCAGCCGGCTCAATAACATCGTTAACAGGTGATTTCAGAGACAGTCGGTGTGAGATCAGGGGTTACCTGGGCAGGGTTCTGCATCATTTCTTCTGATGGATGCAGGGGTTTGTTCTTTTCTTGCCTGAATTGCTGAGCCTATTAGAGGTGTGGAATCAGTGTCTATTGACAGAGTTAGTCTAAGTAAAGAAGTAAATGACACTTAAGTAGTGTATATTTTTTCATAGCAAGAGAGATAACTCCCTTCTGGGGCAGAATAGCATTCTGTAAATGCCACAGGCACTTCCTGTGGTCTTGATGTGGCGGGGACCATCCTGCTACCTTTGACTAAGAGAGGCTGTGGGCTGCGGGGAAGCTCTGGCTCAGTTTGACCCTGGCCAGTTTGACCGTTTCTGCAAAGGCTGTTTGCAGATAAACTCGAGGACAACTCTGGGGTCTCAGAGCCTGAGTGGTCAGCCCAGCTGCTGCCTCTGGGCTTTCATAAACACAGGGAGGAGAGGGTGGTCTTGGGGCCCTGCCCCGGGTGCTGAGGCTGTCTTCACTCCTGCCCCACAGGTCCCTGACGGGCTCTCCTCGCAGCAGCAGTGAGAGCCACTCACCACTCTACATGCACCCACCGAAGTGCGCGTCCTGTGGCTCTCAGTCCCCACAGCATGCGGAGATGTGCCTGCACACCGCCGGACCCACGTTCCCCGAGGAGATGGGAGAGACCCAGTCTGAGTACTCGGATTCCAGCTGTGGTGCGTCCCTTTCCCTTCTACCCCTTGTCAGGGAGAAGGAAGACCCCTCTGCTCCATGGGTGTTGTGCTCCACTTTACTTAGGCTGTTATCTCTGATTGGAGCAGTCCCCAACTGGAAGTCCATTGGCACTCAGAGTCACCAGTCGTTCATCCCATGCTTCACTTCTTAGGGAGGTCGGCTAACCAGAGCAAGGAATGGAGTATTAGAGTTGACCTGGGGTCATCAAGACTTACCACACAGTCTTTCAGGTTTATTCCAGCAAAAGTAATTTGTGGGGCTGGCTGTAATGCCCGGAGCTTTCTCCATTCCTCAATACCAAAACTACTGGGACTGACCTGTGTATGTGTTATTTTCCCCGCCAGGCTGTGTATTCTATGAGGAGAAGCATCTGACTCATTCTTGTATCCCCCATAGGTAGTAGTACGTCCCTAGCATGGAGTAGGAACTCAGTAATGTTAGCTGAGTTAAAAGAGTTGAAGCGAATTACTAAATTGGCATTTCTGGATAGTCGGTGATTGGCATCCCCAGTTTTCACTAGACAAAAAAAATTCTAGTTATTCACCCAGCTCTGGCTACAGGAATAGAGCCCAGTAGTACCTAATCAGAGTTAAATCACCATGACTTGTCATTTTCAAATCACTACAACAAATGAAAAAAATAATTAGCTGCTTATACCAAGAGATTTGGCACAGGGTCATGGACCCCTAGGTGGGAGGGTGGGGACTGTCCCCTCCTGCCCCATGGCTGTTTTGCCTTTGCTGTGCACTCCAGTTCCTTTTCTCTGGGCCTCTGTTTCCACTTCCACCATCAGCTTTGCACTCCCAATCTCACAGGAGGATTTGGGAGACATGAGATCCAGATAGGTGTAAGGGTGACCACGGAGTGTTTATCATTAATTCCTCCTTCAGTAGAATGGAATTTGACCTATATCTTATGTTCCTAGAATGCTCTGTGTTCTATTTTGTGTAACGTAATATGCTCCCGTCAGGTAGGCAGGACAGGGATTTATTATCTGACTTTGAAGACAAAGATACAGAGAGGCTCAGAGGTAGAGTCTTGCCTGAGGGCTTCTGTATATAAGTGTAAATAAAACTGAAAACTTATCTTTAATAGTCAATCCTCAGAACTCTTGGGGAAAGAATATCTCTGTTGTGCCTTCCTCAAACTGGTGCAGGGCCTCTGAGTACCTATGTGTTTGAGCTTCCCTTCTGTAGCTTAATTCAGTCCATCTCCTTTCTCCCTTTTCTGGCTAAGACCAAATGCTAAGAACAGTAAAGTCCCCACAGATCCTTTGCTCCAAGCTCCCATGAATGTCGGGTGGGTGAGTGAGGGGCTGGGGGCTCAGTTTGGCACAGGGGATAGCTACAGAGGACAGAGGCCTGAGAGCCCTACCGCCCTTCCTCGTGCTGACTTTGGTGTCCCCCTCCCACCCTCCAACAGAGAACGGGGCCTTCTTCTGCAATGAGTGTGACTGCCGCTTCTCTGAGGAGGCCTCACTCAAGAGGCACACGCTGCAGACCCACAGTGACAAACCCTACAAGTGTGACCGCTGCCAGGCCTCCTTCCGCTACAAGGGCAACCTCGCCAGCCACAAGACCGTCCACACCGGTATGGCCCTGCCGCGCACAACCCGCCCTCTCCACAGTTACTGGGGCAGGACAGGGAGAGGATCCTAGAGAAAGGCGAGGGGGCAAGGCAGGGAGCAGGCCCCATCCTGGCCTGAACGAGGGGCCCGACCCCATCCTGTTTTTGCTCAGCGGCTTGACTCATTCACTCCCTGTACCCTCTGTCTTTCCACTGAGATGCTCTATACTGCTTTCCTGCCTTTGCTGAGGTCAGAAGTGTTAATCTCACTGCACAGGTGAGGAGACTGAGTCTGGGAGAGGCAAACAGATTCGATTTTTGTAAAGCCAGAAAAAAACTGAAGGCCTCTTGATTTTTTCAAATGACTTGTTCCTTATTAGCTCACCTTCCATTACCAGATAGCTTCTCTTAGCCTGACTGTTGTTTAAAATCTACTCTCTTAATACTGTATATGGCCCCATTATCCAGACACTTTCCATGAAGCAAAGTCCAGCCATTCTATTGGTTTCCTCTGCCTGAGCATCTACTCAGACCCAAGCCCCACCCCTCTTGCCAATGGAATCCAGCTGTAGTTGCCACAAGTGGAAAAATATGTTTGTTCTAAAAGAGGAATGGGAGCAGCCTGATTGTGTCTCCTTGGTGAATGAGTTGATGAGTGAATCTGTCTTATCCAAGTAAAGAGCTAGAAGAGCCTTCCCAGGTAATCTAAAGTAGCCCCCCAGGTTCCAGAGAGGGAAACTGAGGCCCAGAGAAGGAGAGTGACTTGTCCAGGTCCCACAGGCAGATAACCCTAATGACAAAGCTGGTCCTAAAGCCCAGGCTTCCTGGAACCTCCCCCTCCCTTGTCCCGCACCTGACATTGTCGCTACTCCATGCCACCACTTGTTTCTTGGCCCCGGTCCCCTGCAAGATATGCAGGTGTGTGTGAAACAGGGCTGGCAGGTGTGTGTGAAACAGGGCTGGCAGGCGTGGGGGCAGGCCTCTGGATTCTCTCTCTGACATTTCCTAAGGGAAAGGAAAACATGAGTGACCTCAGGGAGGAGCAGTCTGCTTAGAAATCCAGGAGCCAGGGACTGCGGAGACGTTCCTTATTGAATATGGCTTTCCTTTTTCCCTTTTTCTTGGTAATAGGTGAGAAACCCTATCGTTGCAACATCTGTGGGGCCCAGTTCAACCGGCCAGCCAACCTGAAAACCCACACTCGAATTCACTCTGGAGAGAAGCCCTACAAATGCGAAACCTGTGGAGCCAGATTTGTACAGGTGAGCAGAGTGGCCTGGGAAAGGCCGCTCAGTCCATGTGTGCTGATGAGGGGGTGCCCAGAGGCTTGCACTCCACCCCAGAAGACCTCTCATGCTTTCTTCTTCGTTCAGGTGGCCCACCTCCGTGCCCACGTGCTCATCCACACTGGCGAGAAGCCCTATCCCTGTGAAATCTGTGGCACCCGTTTCCGGCACCTTCAGACTCTGAAGAGCCACCTGCGAATCCACACGGGAGAGAAACCTTACCATGTACGTAAGCCTCTTGCGGCCACTCTCTGGCCTGCGGAGATGGGCAGGGCGGGGAAGGAGGTGGAGCAGGCAGGCAGTGGAACTGTTTGCTCCAGTCTCAAGCACGCAGTGGGACAACCACTGCACTCATAGTTGGAAGACCTACATCTGAGCCTGATGGTCAGACACCCTGCTCGACCTTGGCCCAAGCCTTAGGGGACTCATTTTTAAAATGGGGGGTATTGGAACAGGTGATCTGGGCCTGAGGGGAGGAGTCCAGACTATGAACACATAGATTTGATTCATTCCACATAGATTCGATTCATTCCACATAGATTCATTCATTTCACAAATACTTACTGAGTGCCTGCTGGACACTCCATACTGGGTTAGGTGCACATTTAAGAGGAGCTAAGGTGTTTGAGAAGCAACAGTCTTCGGAGGAGGAGGAGAACAAGAAGAATGTTATATTAATTAATGGGGTGGGTGTGGTTGCTCACGCCTGTAATCCCAGTATTTTGGGAAGCCGACACAGGTAGATCACGAGGTCAGGAGTTCGAGACCAGCCTGACCAATATGGTGAAACCCCGTCTCTACTAAAAATATAAGAATTAGCTGGGCATGGTGGCGGACGCCTGTAGTCCCAGCTATTCAGGAGGCTGAGGGAGGAGAATCACTGAAACCTGGGAGGTGGCGGTTGCAGTGAGTCGAGATCACGCCATTGCACTCCAGCCTGGGCGGCGAGAGCGAAACTCGGTCTTGTTTAAAAAAAAAAAAAAAAAAAAAAAAAAACATAGAAAAAGTTATGTTAAGAAAGAGGAGGTGGCCAGAGTGCAGCACGACGGTGTGGACAGGCCACTGGGATTGTAGTGTTCTAGGGTGGGGTCTCGGCAGCTACAGCCTGTGTGCCAATGTTTGAACTTTCTATGAACTAGGAATGTTTTTTTGCAAAAGTAAAAGAATATTTTGTGCCATATGCAAATTATATGAAATTTAAATTTCAGTGTCTCTAAGTAAAAGGTTATTGAAACTCAGGCCTGCTCATTTGTGTACATTTTGCCTCTGGTTGCTTTGGGGTGTTGATGGCGTCCTTCTAGGTGGTGATGGGAACAAGAATGAATCGATGAATGGTTAACCCACCTGCCAGAGGTTAACCTGCAAGACATGGTTATTTTTGTTCACTTGTTTATCTAGCAGTGAGTGAATATCTTCTTACTTGCTGTTTGTTCTTGGGCAAATTCATTATCCTCATAGTAGCTTAACTTCCTAACCTGTAAAATGAGTTTGATAATGATATCTACATCATGGAGTTGTAGTGTTAACTAATTATTGAAGCATTGAGGATAGTGCATGCACATCCTAACGGTACAATAAATATCTGTGATAATAAATGATTTGCTAGAATTTTAGATGCCTGGGATATCAGAGTTGAGAATGACTTTTCAGTGGATATTGACCCAGGCCATTCAGAAGGGAGATCCAAGGCCTAGAGAGAGAAATGGCATGCTTGGGACACACAGCAGTGAATGGCACCGACACAGTGAAACTTATATCTCCCAAGACCAGAGATTTTACATAGGTCCCTGCTCGTTTTTAATTTTTCTTAATCTATTTCCATTTTTGCTTTAAAACATTTACTCTACCTGAACATATTTCATTACACTTTTTATTTTAGAATAGTTTTAGATTTATAGAAAAGTTGCAAAGATTGTACCAAAGGCTCCTACATGCACCTATTTTACCCTATTGTTAACATCTTACATTAGTTCAATACATTTGTCACAACTAATGAACCAATACTGATATATAATTATAAGCTAAAGTGTATACTTTATTTACATTTTCTTTGTTTTTGTCTAAGAATGTCCTTTCTCATTCAAGATCTCATCTAGATTACCCCATTACATTTAGTCATTCATTTTATTTTATTAACTTTTATCTAAACTAAAATGCTTCATTGAATTAAATCAAGAAATAGCTCCACTTGCTAATGTTTAGTTAGCTTATCTAAGATATATGCCATAGAAAATAATATAACTGCATTTAAAAATATTTACTCTAGACTCCGGAATTTCCATGAATTCAGATTGGCCTAGTCCATTTGTCCAGATGTGTTCAGATTAATTGCATAATTTGACAAAGAGGTATATTCTGTTAGGCACGAGGAAGATTATAAAGTTTAGAGAAAATTAGCCACTGCCCTCAAAGTGTTACCCACTTAAGAAGGAGGTAGCCCATGGAGGGCTAGGTGGCAAAGCTAGAAATCTTACAGAGGTTCGAAGTAAAGAGGGATTATTTTTATCCTTGAGAGATTCAGAAATGCCTTAATGATGAGAGGAGTTTGCATCTAACTGTTTTGGATAGGACTTGAACTTGTGGAGTCAAGGCAGGGAAGGACGTCTCTAGCAAGGGAGAAGCAGAAACAACCCTTGGGAAAGCAGGGAACGGACCTTCGCACGATGCTAGCTTATCTGTTGGCAGAAGCTGGGATTCATATGGGTTCATAACCCGGTCTCCAAGAGTCAAGAGCTGCCCCAGTCCCTTGCAGGGAAAATCTTCCTCTCTGGGTCTTTGAGCAATGACACCTTTCTTGGGTTGATGACAGCTAACGTTTGCCTCTGCTGTCCCTGCAGTGTGAGAAGTGTAACCTGCATTTCCGTCACAAAAGCCAGCTGCGACTCCACTTGCGCCAGAAGCATGGCGCCATCACCAACACCAAGGTGCAATACCGCGTGTCGGCCACAGACCTGCCTCCGGAGCTCCCCAAAGCCTGCTGAAGCATGGAGTGTTGATGCTTTTTCCTCTCCAGCCCCTTCTCAGAATCTACCCAAAGGATACTGTAACACTTTACAATGTTCATCCCATGATGTAGTGCCTCTTTCATCCACTAGTGCAAATCATAGCTGGGGGGGGGGGGGGGTGGGGGTCGGGGCCTGGGGGATTGGGAGTCATAGCAACTCCCCCTCCCCCACTGCCATGAAACATTAAGAAAATAATATTGCTTCTTCTCCTATGTGTAAGGTGAACCACGTCAGCAAAAAGCAAAATCATTTTCTATGTCAAAGCGGGGAGTATGCAAAAAGTTCTGACTTGACTTTAGTCTGCAAAATGAGGAATGTATATGTTTCGTGGGAACAGATGTTTCTTTTGTATGTAAATGTGCATTCTTTTAAAAGACAAGACTTCGGTATGTTATAAAAGAGAGGGCTTTAATTTTTTTAACCAAAGGTGAAGGAATATATGGCAGAGTTGTAAATATATAAATATATATATATATATAAAATAAATATATATAAACCTAAAAAAGATATATTAAAAATATAAAACTGCGTTAAAGGCTCGATTTTGTATCTGCAGGCAGACACGGATCTGAGAATCTTTATTGAGAAAGAGCACTTAAGAGAATATTTTAAGTATTGCATCTGTATAAGTAAGAAAATATTTTGTCTAAAATGCCTCAGTGTATTTGTATTTTTTTGCAAGTGAAGGTTTACAATTTACAAAGTGTGTATTAAAAAAAAAAGAACAAAAAAACCCGCAGAAGGAAAAACGTGTAATTTTGTTCTAGTTTTCAGTTTGTATATACCTGTACAACGTGTCCTCACGGTGCCTTTTTTCATGGAAGTTTTCAATGATGGGCGAGCGTGCGCCATCCCTTTTTGAAGCCTAGGCAGACACAGGGACTTGAAGTTGTTACTAACTAAACTCTCTTTGGGAATGTTTGTCTCATCCCATTCTGCGTCATGCTTGTGTTATAGCTACTCCGGAGACAGGGTTTGGCTGTGTCTAAACTGCATTACCGCGTTGTAAAATATAGCTGTACAAATATAAGAATAAAATGTTGAAAAGTCAAGCTGGCTTGGTCTGGAGGGCTTTTCTTGTGTGGGAATGGGGCCTGGCCTGGATCTGGCTCCCTGAGCTCCTAACCTACTGGAAAACGCTCTTGGAGGGGAGGGGCTGCTGGCTGCTGCATTCTCAGAAAGTAGTGCCGTTTGAGATGAGGCTAGGACTTGTTCCTGGTACCTTGGCATGGACGCACATTTGGACCCCAGCACCAGGAGGAACTGTGGTCTCCAGGCCCTGTTTCTGAAGAGCTCAGGTGGGAGATTTTGGAAGGACTGCCCACTCAGCTCTAAGCTAAGCTTGCTTTCTTTTTCCTTCCTTCCTTCCTTCTTTCCCTCCTTCCTTCCTTCTTTCCTTCCTTCCTTCCTTCTTTCCTTCCTTCCTTCCTTCCTCCTTCCTTCCCTCCCTCCCTCCCTCCTTCCCTCCTTTCTTTCCCTTCCTTCCTTCCTTTCTTCTTTCTCTCTCTCTTCTTTCATTCTTTCTCCTTCCTTCCTTCTTCCCTTTTTCCTCTCTCTCTCTTTCTCTCTTTCTTGTTTCGTTCTTTCTCTTCTTTCTCTCTCTCTCTCTTTCCTTCTTTCTTTCTTCTTTCTTTCTTTCTTCTTTTCTTTCTTTCTTTCTTTTTCTTCCCTTCCTTCCTTTCTCTCTTTCTTTCTTTCTCTCTCTCTCTCTCTTTCCTTCCTCCCTCCCTCCCTCCCTCCCTCCCTCCCTCCCTCCCTCCCTTCCTTCCTTCCTTCCTTCCTTCCTTCCTTCCTTCCTTCCTTCCTTTCTTCTCTCTCTCTCTCTCTCCCTTTTCTTTCTTTCTCCTTCTCTCTTTCTTTTTCAGAATCTCGCTTTGTCTCCCAGGCTGGAGTGCAGTGGCACAATCTTGGCTCACTGCAACTTCCACCTCCTGGGTTCCAGCAATTCTCCTGCCTCGGCCTCCTGAGTAGCAGGGATTACAGGTGCCCACCACCATGCCCAGCTAATTTTTTGAATCTTTAGTAGAGATGGGTTTTCACCACGTTGGCCAGGCAGGTCTCAAACTCCTGACCTCAGGTGATCTGCCCACCTCATCCTCCCAGAGTGCTGGGATTACAGGTGTGAGCCACCCTGCCCAGCCTAGGGTAAGCTTTTAATGACTTCCTTTTTAGTTCTGCCGACATACAGATGGGCATCTCGTCTTCCTCTGGACGTCAGTTTACCCATTCTCTGAAGTGAGAAGGCCTGTCGTGCTCCCTGGCTTCATGAACAATTTCTCTCCACTCGGCTCACAGCGCAGTATGAAGGCATGTGGCCCCAGACATACATTTCTCAACCCGAGTGCATTTGAGGGTTTTTTGGTGTCTGCTGGGTGATTGCCAGACATCTGCAGACTCAGAAGCTTTATGGATGGTTAGTACCCAAGCAAACCTCTATCCCTGCTGAGGTGCTTCCACCCCCAAGAGCCCTGTGGTGGAACTCAGCCGCCTCCTCCAGTGTGACTCGGGAAAACCATTTTCCCTCTGAGTCCCCTTTCCAACCTGTCCATGAGAGTGAGCTACACCATGTATGATTCCTTGATTCAGATGCAAGTTCACCCTTGCTTGCTTTGGCATCTGGTTTTCTTTTACCTTAAAAAACCCCAAGGATCAAGTTTGACCCGAGAACACTGAGGACAAGTGTGGTTCTGGTCACTGGCCCAGAGGAGAAGCCTGCAGTCTCCCTTCCTGTTCCTGGGTGGCAGTGGGGAGGGCATGTGGAGTTGAGCCTGTCCCCTGGGCCGTGGGCCCACTTGTTGGGCAGTTGTGTCCCTTGGCAGTGCCTTTGCAGCAGGCTCCGAGCACGTGCTGGGAAGCTATGGGGGCTGACCACCCAGCGCCCCACAGAGAGCCTCAGAAAGGCACAGCACCCTCTGCCAGCTGCATGGCCTTTCAGTTCAGGTTTCCTTTGAAAATGACTTTAAAGGACTTGCCAACTCAAGTCCTCAACTCACCCTGCTCTTTGAAAAGGGAGAAAATGATCCCTCTGCTCCCATAGAAACTTGGCAAAAGAACTTACAAAACAGACAGCTTCAGGAATGACAATTCACAGGCCTGAGGGAAGCTGGCCCCAGGGCCCCTCTGCTCCCAGAGTACCTCCAAGTTTGTTTGCATTTCATTACTGTTTAACAGAGAGAAGGAGGGCGAGGGTAGATAGCGTGGGTGGCCATTTAAACAAAGGCGAGGATCAAAGCGTAACTGCAGCCAATTGACAATCAATAATAACAACAACTAAAAAGAAATGCCTCTAAGGAGGTAAGTCAGGGCAAAGGGAATATAAAATGTTTACTAAAAAGTGTGATGTAAATGCAACTTTTCACCAATACAGAGAATATGCATGACGTTCTTCTCTACACTGTGGGATTTTTAGATGAAGGGGTTCTGAGGACCAGGATGATGAGGTTGTGTAAGGGGTAAGCCCAGAGAATTGGGGTGGTTAGAATTATCTAGAGCTATTTAGGAGTTTGAAAGGACGGGAAAGTAAGATCACCAAGCTCAAATCTTGCGTCTGATCCACGAAAGGATTGAGGCAGGAGGGGTGAAGGCACTTTCCTACTGCCAGCCAGATCCTGGGGTGCAGAGTGCAGAACAGGCTCCTGCTCTTACAACCCTGAGGGAAGGAAAACCAGAGGCAAACATTCCATTTTAATTTTTAGTATTTTTTATTATTATTTTATTTTTCTTAGAGATGGAGTCTTGCTCTGTCACTCAGGCCGGCAGGCAATGGCACAATCGTACTCACTTGAAATCCTGAGCTCAAGCAACACTCCTGCTTCAGCCTTCAGAGTAGCTGGGACTACAGGGGCACGCCCCTGTGCCGGGTTACAAATGTTCCATTTTAGACATGGGGAAATGGAGGCAGGAGCTAGTCCAAGGTCATGCAGCTAAGAAGTGTCCAGGTAGACTGAGTTCACACAATGGTTGTCAATAGAACATTAATCAGTTCAATTCAATTGTTAGGCCTCAGGCTTCTTGGAGAAATGAGCTATTCCCTTTGCAATCTGGGTTTCCATTTTCTCCCTCTGTCTCACTCACAGTAATAATTAATAATAAGGCTGGGTGTGGTGGCTCATGCCTGTAATCAAAGCACTATGGGAAGCCAAGGCAGGTGAATCACTTGAGGTCAGGAGTTTGAAAGCAGCCTGGTTAATAAGGAGAAACCTCGTCTCTACTAAAAACACAAAAATTAGCTAGGCACAGTAGCATATGCCTGTAATCCCAGCTACTAGGGAGGGTGAGCCAGGAGAATTGCTTGAATCCAGGGGATGGAGGTTGCAGTGAGTCAAGATCACGCCACTGCGCTCCAGCCTGGGCCACAGAGTGAGACTCCATCTCAAAAAAAAAAAAAAAAAAATTAATACTAAGCTGTCTTGTGTTCTACCAGAGGCATGCATTGGTAAGGACTAAGATCATTAAAATGGGGAAGAGAAGCCGAGGGAAGCTGACCCCTGAAGAGTAGTTGGGCCACATTAATGGTAGAGCTCCAGAATGAGGACTGCAGAACTAGGATGACCTTTCAGAATCTAGTTCTATGAAGCTTATAATTGTGTTGGGGTTTCTAGTCTTGGATTTCTAGGATAATCCATCCTTCTTATAAGCACTTTATAATGAGATCACTGCCTCCATTTCTACACCACTGCCATTACTGGGACTGGACTACATGAGTCTATTTCCTGGAACCATTAGAAGGATCCTTACACTTGTTTGACAAGGCCCAAGCTTCTCTATAGTGGAGGCCAAGGCATGCCGTAATCCCTTTAAGGTACGGAACAAAACATCATTCACCCAAAATACCATAGTCAGTTGGAAACGCAATGTTCCCCCTATCCCCAGAGCAGAGATAGGAGGCTTCCAAATGGCACACAGAAGCCCAGCCCTGGCATGGGCACGCTGCCCAGCACATGTAATATAGCATCCAGGGTTGTCACTAAGAAAGTGGTCTTCTCTCATTCCCGATGACTCATGGGAGAAAAAGAGAAGAAAAATTAACATAAAAAAAGAAAGTGGCCTTCAAGAAAGACAGATGCCCAGGCAGGAGGACTCTGGCGTCTAGGAAAGAGCCCTAGTGGGCTTTGCAGCCACTGAGTACTGTATTGCTCCCCAACCTTCGGGAAGCCACTCCTCCCACACATACTCACCCCTGCACTCCCTACTCAAGCCCAAGAAAGGAAGAAAACAGAAAGTAAAGTGAGAGGTCAGCCTCCAAGGCAGTGGAGGCGGGGGATCTTGAAGGGTGAGCAAAGGAGGGGGGGCGGGGGATGTCCTGGCCAAGCTAGCAAAGGTAGGGGACTGACTTTCTAGCCTCACCCCACCCCCCAATCCCCAGCCCCTTATTAAGTGAGGCTGACTCATTTAACCCCAGATGACGGCTGCTCAACATATCTCTTCCTTTTAGGACCCCAAGAAGGCAAGTTGATTATGTAAATACATATGGAGTTGGAATCACATAATATTGTAACTAGAGAGAGTTTAGTGATGATAATTCTCTTCTATAGGTGAAAAAAAAAAAAAAAGGCCTGAAAGAAAAGGTGACGTGCTTAAGGTCACACCAAGAATTCTTATCAAACGTCACCTGACTCCCAGTGAGGTTTGTAATGAGTTCCAGCCCTCAGAGGGTTTGTAGTCAAAATCACAAGAAAAAACATGGACGTATATGGAAGGAAAATCACAAGGAAACACCAAATGATATAAAAGTACGGCTAACAAATGGTGTTCCTCAATGAGAACATACAGGCACAGGGAGGGGAACATCACACACCGGAGCTTGTGGGGGGTGGGGGGACTAGGGGAGGGATAGCCAGGGGTGGGGGGATTGGGGAGGGATAGCATTAGGAGAAATACTTAATGTAGATGACGGCTGATGGGGGCAGCAAACCACCATGGCACATGTGTATCTTGGTAACAAACCTGCACGTTCTGCACACGTATCCCAGATATTAAAGTACAATTTAAAAAGAAATGATGTTCCTACAGATTCAGCATATCTTGAGAAGCGACATGTTCAGAATGACAAACTGTTCTTTCAGGGCAGTACAAGGGGGACAGCCTTGCTGAGCGGGGGGCCCATGGACAGGCACCCTCAGGGCTTTCAGGCGTCTCCCACTTGTTCTGCGGAACTTCAGTGCCTCCTTCCATCTGGACAGAGCTGTCCTCTGATGTCATCAGTAGGAGCTACCTCTAGAGGTGTGTTAGTTTGCTAAGGCTGCTGAAGCAAAGTACCACACACTGAAGTGGCTTAAACGACAGAACGTTATTGCCTCATGGTTCTGAAGGCCGGGAGTCTGAGATCAAGGTGTTGGCACCGTTGATTTCTTTTGAGGGCTGTAAGGAAGAATCTGTCCCAGCCTTCTTTCCTAGCTTCCGGTCATTTCCTGGCAATCTGGCACTCTTTGGCTGGTAGAAGGATCCCTTTGATCTTTTCATCTTCACATGGCATTCTTTTTGCGTCCACGTCTCTGTATCCAAAGCACTTTTTTATGAGGCCATCACTTGTGGTAGATTAAAGCCCACTCTAATGACCTCCACTTAACTAATTATATCTGCAATGACCCTATTTTCAAATAAGGTCCCATTCTAAGGTACTGGAAGGTAGGACTTCTACATATGAATTTTGGGAGGACATGATGCAACTCAGCAGAGGCTGTTTATGGGAAGAAAGATGAGGAGAAATGCTTTCAGAAATGGCACCACCCTAACCTCTTGTTTGTACTTTCTTCTAGCTGTCAAAGGCTCAGGGAATTAAGATCTGGAGGGCCTTCTCACTACCAGTAGGCTTTGCACTCATGGTCTCCTTTACCCTCATGATGACTCACTGAAGTGGATTTGTTTTACCTCTTACAGATGACAAGAATGGGGTACAAGAAGGCCACAACTCGGTTAAGATCAGGCAATACATCTCTTCTTTCTTCTCTAGCTAGTTTTGTCTTTTATGTCACTGGTGGATCTCTGTCCAAAAGAACACAAGAGAAGAAAATAATTGTGCTTTCTGAACAACCACACTTTGATTATGCAGGTGGGAGAAAGCTCTTGATCCAGGTAGGTCTTTACGAAACAGGAATCACCAAGAACTTATATACAAGACCAGACCATCATGGGCTTGATAAAAGTCCCTTAACAAGAACTGGAGACTATTGTAAGTAATGGTGTCTTGAATAATCATGGAGTATTTGAGCTTACCCCACTGATGATCTCATCAAGCAGTTGTGTACCATAGGGGGCTTTCAGACATATTGCTGCCTGCTCTCCAGGCGAATCTAACTTACAGCCAGGTGTGAGAATTCTGATTTAATCCAACTCTACCACAAAGAAAAGAAAGCCAAGCAACATTAAGCAAAGAAATTCTATAAGGACTAGGACACAGCCCCCTCTCCCCAAGCCTATGCCAGTATTAGTTCCTCTGAAATCATACTACCATGATTTCTTATTTCCAGACACTTTAGTGCTGCCACTAAATGGTTACCTTCCTCATATACATTCATATATCTGATTACTTATTTGGCACAACCTTGTGTCAAATAAGGTTTGACACAAGGAAATTATTTCAACGAACAGGAATTATAAACAGGTAGAACTCAGCTTGACAGAATAAAGGATTTTCTGCTGTCTAAAGATGGAATGGGCTTTGGGTGAGTCTCTGTACTCATCACTGGAGGCGATTTAAGATTAAGATGTGTGGTGAGTTGGCAGCAATCCCGATTTTTGGGCAGGATTGGATTAAATGACTCTAAGGGCCAGATGTGGTGGCTCACGTTTGTAATTCCAAAACTTTGGGAGGCCGAGGTGAGTGGATCATTTGAGGTCAGGAGTTCAAGACTAGCCTGGCCAACATAGCGAAACCCCATCTCTACTAAAAATACATAAATAAGCCAGGCACGGGGGCGGGCGCCTGTAATCCCAGCTATTTGGGAGAGGCTGAGGCAGGAGAATCGCTTGAACCTGGGAGGTGGGGGTTGTGGTGAGCCAAGATGCGCCACCACACTCCAGTCTGGGCAGCACAGTGAGACCCTATCTCAAAAAAGAAAAAAAATAAATGCTCCACGGTCCCTTTCAAACTTGAGATTGTACAAGATCGTATCCTATTTAGAAACTGATATTGATCATGGTGAGGGATTCAGAGGATGTGTTTGCTCCCAGGAGTCTCAGGAAGGAAGGGCCATGGAAATCTGGGGGCCATTTGCGTAGGCTTGGGCAGCTCCTGTAACCTGAATTGACCTGCACTTTAAGGACCAAGTTGTGTTTCTTTGTATTTTTACTAATGTACAGAGGCTTACAGTTTCATACGTATCATTTTCTGATACTGAGGCTATAACCTTGTCTCCCATCATTTCTGCCTGGTGCACCTTATTCTTCAGTCACAGGGAGAAGCTCACCATTTCCCAAACCTGTGAAGCTTCAGTATCTTTGCAAACACCAAGACTCCTGCCTAGCAAGTCTCTTTTCTCCATTTACCCTTCCTTCAATTCCTCTCTTCTTCCGGCCTGTGAATTCCTTCAGCCTGAACAACTGTGAGCAGCTGTACAGCGTTGTTGAGTGACGGAGTAAAAGGGTGAGCACATGATTAAATGCTCCTGTTGGTCCCTGTTTCTGAGGCTGTTCTACTGGTGCAGTCTAGCAAATAGCCACAAGGTGGCAGGGTAGACCGAGAAGTGAAGGCTGCAGGTGCCACGTTTTCTGGCTCCAAGGATATAGGAAGGCCTAAATGGGGCCAGTGCTGTCTTTTGAGCTGGTCTATGCCTTTGTACCTGTTCTCTTTCTATATCCTCTTCTTCGTCTCAGCAGAGCCATCCAACAGAATTGACTGGGGAGTTCTGGCTTCCAAATCTCTCTTTTGGAGATCTACTTGAATGTCAAGTTCCATTCTGAATCGTTCCTTTGAGGATCAGGAATTGCCAGTTGCTCTCGAAAATGTAAGGGGTCATGTCTCATTGCTTGGGCAAAAGAGGCCAATTCCCAGTAGAACTGTGGAGGGAAGCAGGGATTTACGATATGACACTAAGCTAGTGTCTAGCATACCACACTTTACGAATCACAAACGCCTTTCATCTCCAAGGGATCACTTAATCCTCACCACGATCTCGCCAGTTAAGGAAGCAAGACATCCCATTTGTCAGGTGACAAAACTGAGGTTCAGAGAGGAGAGCCTACGAACAATCTGGCTAGCGGGTGGCAGGGCCGGGAACAGACGATTTGCCTCTGACTTGCCGTCGGGGACTCAGCCAGCACAGGCAGTTACTTTGTGTGTCAGTGGGTGAATTAACAAAAAGGTACACCTATCTTTGAGAGGCAGGAGAATAGTGTCTGGAGGCAGAGAACCTAAGGCCACTTTGCACTGGTTTTCCAGATCTGAATAAAAAGGAAAACCCCACCTTTCCACATGCAAGTAACAAAAGGATCGGAGGCTACTCACTTTGCAACTGGCTCCCCCGCACTCCCGCTTTCTGCCTTGCAGATGGAAAATGAAAGTACCTCTGACTGGTCTCCTCCTGCAACCAATCAGACTGGTTGTAGGCCTAGCCTTCATTTGCAGAGGCCAATCAGATTGGTTGCGAGCCACTGCTTCATTTACATAGGGTGTGAACCAAGTAACCAATTAGAAACCCCTGGAGGATATTTAAAGCCCCGACAATTCTTTGTTCAAAATGCCAAGAACCGGAACACCTTCTACTGGTAGCGTTTGTGTACTTTTGAGCACAGCTTTTTCACCTCACAACAGTGTAAGAAAATTTAGGCTTTTAGGATTGGTGTTCTCTTTGGTTCAAAACTGTAAATTCTGGGTGTAGGCAGGGAGGAAGCCACTGGGGCATGCCATGGCACTCACCACCTGCACCACACTGTAGGCCTGTGCCCCGCAGGGCTGGTGCCTAGGCTGAGGGCTGGGTGCATCTCAATCGCCTCCCTGCTCTCCCTCAGTGCCAAGGGCTGGCGGAGGTGTCCCTTAAGCATTGTTATGTTTACACTCAATGACTCTGGGCAATTGTGGGTGGGAGACAGCATCAAAACCCCGCTGTCCTGGGCCCTGCCACAGTGAGAGCCAGGACAAACAGCTTCCGCCTTGATTCCAGACCAGGCTCAGCTGTTGGCCAGCTACTGGCCTTGGTCAGGAAACTCACTGTCTCTGGGCCTCAGCTTCCGACTGCAAATGCAAAGACTGTGTGGGATAATTTTCAGGACCCCTTTTGGTAACAGTGACAAGGACTTTTCCAGTCAAAGTAACTAAGCGATGCAGGTAGGAGACTGCTCTCACTAGGGTGTTCTGGGAATATAAACCACTCATTGAGGTCACAGAGTTCTTTGCTGGGCGCCAGCCCTTTCCCATTCACTGTTCCCGAGGTTTCCTGGGTCCAGGATACCAACGTGCATGGACTCAGGACTGAAGGTTTCTTATTCATGCCTCCTGATATTTTCACAAATCAAAAGGGGCTAACAAAAATGACGCTAGTTGTCAGAAACTCAGATTCATTTTTCAGTTCACAAGGGGCTCAAAGTTCCTCTACATGTAACAATATGGAACTTTGCTGAGATACACTTTGTCTTTTTAAAAATGGCATCTATTGTTCTGAATTTAATTTTAAAATTTATATATGTTCAATATATACAAAAACTTGAAAAACAGTCATGACAAAACATAATAAATAACATTTATTTAACACTCATCATATGCCAGCAACATTTAAGTTTTTAAAATGTTTAAATAATTATGGGTTCACAAAAAGTTACAAAAATAGTGCAGAGATGTCCTGCGTCCCTTCTCCAAGTTTCTCTCAATGTGTGTTTGTGTGTGTGCATATGTGTGCATGTGTGTTTCTATGCAATTTTATTGCATGTGTGTATTCACATGGCCACCACCACAATCAAGATATACAACAGTTCCGTCACGCCAAAGATCATTTGTGTCACCTTTTTATCATCATCTCGTTTCCCTCCCTTCATCTCTAACCTCTGGCAACTGCTGATCTGTTCTCCACCTCTATAATTTTGCCTTTTTGAGAATGTTCTATCTATAAATAGAGTGTATGATGTAAGTAGAATAATGATATTAAATAACGTGTATTGAGCACTTACTATGTGTCAAGAACTGGCTTCGGTTCTGTACAAGTGTGAACTTATCTGATCCTCTCGGGAATCTACTGCGATGGTGTCTTTTATTATTCTTACTTTCTAGATGTGGAGACTGAAATCATCACCCAGTTTTATGCAGCCAGCAACTGGCAGAGCTGAGAGAAAAATCCAGATCTGGCTTTAGACTCTGAGGTTGTAATTATCATATTATCTCTCTAAATTGATTCAGCATAAATGTTTAAAAATTAAATACTGAAAAGCATAATTAAGAGAGATCAGCAGTAGCCTTAGAAAATTTCCACGGATTGGTGCCAAACAGACCACATTCTCTAAGAACAGTTCAATTAAGTTAGAAATCAACAACAAAAAGGGATCTGGAAAAATTCCACTTGTTTATACATTTTTTAAAAAATTCCCTCAAACAGCTCATGGGTCAAACAAGGAAAGCTGAGAGTTTACTTCTGACAGGAGAGCAGTGGGTTTCCTAATGGCATTGTGCATGGTGCAGGTGTCGATTGCTTCAAGGCTGAACACAAATAAAGGTAATACTGTCTCCACCCCAGACTGAATCCATGAGGGCAGGGACCATGTTTCAGTCATACTAATAGCCTCAGAGCCTCACCTGACAAGGTGTTAATAAATGCTTACTGAGTGCATTTAAAAATAGACCCCCATGGACACTGCCTATATTCCCTCGGATCCTAAAGTGCAGACAAAGCTGGAAGACTCTTTGAGCCATTGCAAACAAAAGCACACAGAAACCATGATGGAAATGCACAGAAACAGCAAAAAGGGTGGCTATGTGCATTAGGAGCTGTGAGAGCACTTTGCTTTACATGGTGCCTTTAGACGTCCAAAAGTCTCACCAGAGAACAGGGCTTTAGAGTTCAGCACCTTTGAAATTTCTTATTTAGCACCTAGAAAATTGATGCTCCAGGAACTAGTGATTTATCTAGGGTTATTATAAGTTTGAGATAAGAACCTAGGTCTCCTGACTCCGCATAGAGAGCTTTGTGCCAGCAGAGTAGACCCTTGACATTGCCAGATAATTTTTGCCTATGCTTTCAGGAATCCTCCAGTCGAAAACCCAGAAATGTTTGCAAAGGTTTTCAGGCTTTACTGAAATCACATTTAGAGGACTCATAGTGTATTAGAGTTACCAGACAAACAGATCAATAGGATCTATATGTGGGGTGTGTACGTGTGTATGCATGTGTATTTGTATGGCTCTCCATAT